AAAAAAAAAAAAAAAAAAAAAAAAAAGTGAATTGCCAACTCTTGTAATTTCACCCTCTAGAAATTAACGGTTAGAAATATTGGGACAGTTCATAGAGACTGGTTCAGATTTTCCTGCATACTTATCCTAATGTAGTAATGGCCACCACAGTAACAGTTAATACATGTCCAGTGCTTCCTGTGCATCCAGCACAATTTTATGCGTTACACATATTAACTCACTTTCAAGCCTCACCCACATTTTATGCAAGAGAAACCAGACAGAGCTTAAGCGCTTAAGCAAGAGGCGAAGGCCATGTTAATTAAATAGTGAGCTGGGCTTTGAACTTGGACCTTCTGACTCTGGAGTCTATGCTCTTATTCAACAACATGTACTGCTCTGCCCTGAATCACTGCAGGGCACACTGAAGGCAAAGCAGCCCTCATCCCCGGAAGAAAGGCTGGGTAAGGACACCACACTGCTTCTCGGCCTGAGTTGGGGACGGCTCAAGGTAGTTCTCGTATTCCTTGTATGGTACAGACGTCCTTGAAGAACAGATAAAAAAAACGTGTGAGTAGGAGCTTCCAAAGACTGTTGACCACAGAATGATTCCTAGGGTTGGCTGTCACTTGAAATTCTATGCATGCTTGGTGGGCTACAGGGATTACTGGCCCCGCACCACATGGCAGAATGTGGGTAGAAATGAGCCCCCAAACCTTGGATGTGGACTAGCCTGTATCGACCCTCCCTAGCCCCACGGGTGATTCTGGAGCTGGCAGTATCCCAGGCTTCCAACAGTAAGTATGAGGTTTCCTGACCAGTGGCTGTTCAGTTTCATTTGAGTGATGCTCGGAGCTTTTGTTCACTGAATAAAACGTTCACTCCTCAGCCCTTCAGGCAAGAGGAAGGGGTAGCCTTTCTGGCAAATACCAGCAACCATGCAGGAAGGACGAAGCCAGGACACAGAAGCGGCGAAACAGCAAACCTGAGGAAAGCTGGGAGACCGAAGCCCTGCCTTCTTTCTGGTACAGACGCCTACAATCTCTATTGCTTAAGCCAGCTGGAACCGGGGCCCCTGGTGGCTTAGCATTTCAGCTGTGAAGTATGGAAACTGAAAACTGGCTGGATGAGAGACGGTGAGAAAAGCAAGAACTCACTGGTAATACTGAAGGACGGGCTCTGTCTGGGCTTCATAGGCCTTCAGTCTCTTGATCACCGTCTCTGGTTTGTCGTCCTCACGCTGAATCAGAGGTTCTCCTGTCAGGTCATCAATGCCCTGGACAGACGTCGAAGAATGTCAGCTCAGCGTGACAGTGTCTTTCTAAGCAGATAGCCTCTCTATTCCAGCACCCATCATAGAAATGTGCTCATGTTTCAGGGAACAGGATCCAAGCTAAAGGCAGATGACTGCCGCTCTGAGAACCCCCAGGGCCATTTCCATAGTGCTGTGCGGTTTGGACTGGGACGCCCCTGTCTGTCCCTAGGCCCAGGTCCTCGGAGTGTTGGTTCCCAGGTGTGGTAGACATTCCAACCGCAAGCCCGTGTTGCAGATCCTCACTGCCTCTGCCCTGCACTCACACCCTGGCACAGAGGAAGGAAATCAACACTTTTTGTCTGTGTCAGGTTTCTCACAGCTGTAGCCAACACCTGAGAAAACTGAGTAGAAGGGAGGAGCTGTGTATTTGGCAGATTGTTTCAGAGGGCTCGGGTCTTGGCTGCTTGAGTTTGAACTTGAGAACATCATGGTTGGAGTGTGTGTGTGTGTGTGTGTGTGTGTGTGTGTGTGTGTGTCTGCATGTGTGCGTGTGCATGGGTACACATGTGCACATGCACATGCAGTTTTCTTCACAGGATGCACAAGAAGAAGGTCGGGGAAGGGACTAAGGATCATGCATAATCTGCAGAGGTACTGTCCCAGTGACCCACTTTTCCAGTTAGGCTCTACCTCAGAAGCTACACCACCATTTGGGGACCAAGCAGTCACCACATTGAGCCTATGGGGGACATTTCACAGTTAAACCGTAACACTTGAGCGAGGCGCAGACCTGTTCCAGAGGAACGCACCTTTACTACCAAGCTTGAGTGGACCAGACCCATCAAGTACCCTGGCAGTAGTCTTGGTCAGACAGAGGATGTCCAGGGTTACAGAACTATGTCTGGGAGGGGAAGAGAACTCGGGGACACTCTGCTGTGTGTCAGCCCCGCTGCGGTTACTCACCACAGTCTTGGGAGGGTTGAATTCAATGTTGTACACTCGGCCACTGGCCGGATGGATCCAGCGAGCAGTAAGGCGTTGTTTAATGACCTCAAAGGGCACGTTGAGGTTTATCACTGTGTCTATCTGGTAAACTCTATCCAGGGCTTCTGCCTGTGGAAGTGTCCTTGGAAAACCTGTATATGAGGGGAGGGAGGGGAAGACAAAGAGAAAGGGTTAGTGTTAGGCAAACTGAAGCCAGGAATGAAGCCAGGCAGGTGGACCAGGACTGTAACAACCTTGAGCAAATTTCTTGGTGTCTACTTGACTGTAGAGCACCCAGATATTTGGTTAAACATTCTGAGTGTGCATTCGAGGGTATTTCTGTCTAACACAGCCCTTCGCTCTCCTGGGGCGGTAAGCCTCAGTGAAACAGGTGGAAGCCTGTGGAGACGGGGACTATCTGCCTGCCATCATGCTTACCAGCCAAACGGAATTCAAGTCGGATGTGACGGCATGCTTGCCATGGCCGCACTTGGGAAGTGGGGGCAAGGGTTCAAAGCCTTGGCTACATATTAATAATGGCGTTCAAGGCCAGTTCGGGCTACATGAGACTCTGTCTTAAAAACAAACAAAAGGGGCTGGAGAGAGAGCTCGGTGGTTTAAAGCACTTGCTGCTGTTGTATAGGACCCAGGTTCAGTCCCTAGCACCCATGTGGCAGCTCAAAACCATCCATAACTCTAAGATGTAAGGATTCTGATTTTACCTTCTGGCCTCCATGGGTGCCAGGCATGCACGTGGTACGCATACATAACATGCAAGCCCAACACTCATAAATCTTAAATGGAGCAAGTGCGAGTCACCACACTTAGTTCTCTCTAAAACAAAACAAAAACAGAAAAAAAAAAAAAAAACGAAAACAAAACCCTATAAAAAAAAAAAAACACAAAGTATCCTCGTCCAGTGGCTCATACCACCTGTAACTCCAGCTCCAGGGGATCTGACACCTTCTGGTCAACAACAGCTCCTACACACACACACACACACACACACACACACACACACACACACACACACACTTACAATTTTTTAAATAAGACAGGAATAGTAGCAGCACTCAGGAGGCAGAAGAAGGCTGAATTCTTAATTTGAGGCCAGCCTGGTCTACACAGTGAGTTCCAAGCTAACCAGAACTACACAGTGAGACCCTATCTTTAAAAAAAAAATATGTATATGGGAAAGGACTTATCAGGAGGACATCATCTTCATTCAAAATCTCTGAAGGCTGAGTCTGAAATATGACAAAAATATGACATATGACATATAAAAGTTTTTACAGTCTGAACATCCCTAATCCAGAAATCTAGATCCAGTGATGTCAGAGGTGTCCAACTTGGGGTTTAGGGTGCTCAGGAATGCTCAGCTGGTAAAGACCACAGCTGGAAGCACAAAACTCTGAAGTAGGAAACATGTGGTCTCAGGCATTTGAAAAACGGGGTACACAGCCAGTGCAGCTAAAATAGTTTAAACAATGTGGTTCAAAAACACAGAGAAAAGCAACTAGAAATGATTATTGAGTCCCAAAATAGACACAAGTACGCTGGGGAATTTGAAATGGTATCTGATCCCAAACTTTTTACTTTACAATGTTATGACTAGGAACATTCTGTCCAGGGCACAAGGAAGTTAAGATTTATGAAAATAATACATTTCGCAAGGGTGACAGAGGCTAAAATGCATATGCAATGATTTGTTAGCGCTAAAAACACAGCTTACTAAAGCTCAAACATGGAAAATTTGGCTTATGACTTAGAACTCATAATGGGATAAAATAACTATTAAGGAACCCAGATTGAGGGACAATGGCCCCAAACAAAGTTAATGGCAAGAGGTTCAGCCTGGAACACTTTATGTAGCCCCAAGATGAAAGAAAATAGCAAGCATTTACTATAGAATTTATAATGAAGTCATCCTGAGAGAAACAATTTGACTATCTTTAATGAGACTAATAGAGTATAATAGCTCATTCCACAGAATGCTTTCAGATGCCAACAGCCATACGGTAAAGGTTTTATAGCGACCATTTCTTTCAACTGCCCTAATGCCCATGAGAGAGACGCTGTTGTTATCTCCACTTTACAAATGAGGAAGTAGGCAGAGCAACAGCAAATGCCTTGCTGTCTGTCGCTCATGAAGCCATTAAGCAGTGGCAGTCACAGTGAACACACGCAGTCTATGTAACCTAACACCTGCACTCATAATCAAGGAGTTTGCACTGAAAAAAGTCTTAACAAAAATACCTCTCTATTGGCCCGATTCTTATTACAGTGTTCATACTGCTGCTCTTGTGGAGGGCCCAGGTTCGATTCCCATCACCCACATAGCACCCACAACCATCTGTAACTCTACTTCCAGGAGCTCAGATGACCTTTTCTGGCTTTCTATGGGCACCATACCATGTGGTGTACATACATGCTTGCAGGCAAAGCACTCTACACAAAATTTTGAAATGTTTATCTTCAGTAACTTAGAATAAAACATCCATTGGGATAAAAGGCCTGAATCAAAATAACCTGTGACAGGAGAAGAAACGTAAGGCTATGGGTTTTTTTTTATTTTATTTTATTTATTTATTTATTTATTTTTTCTGGAGCTGAGGACCGAACCCAGGGCCTTGCGCTTGCTAGGCAAGCGGTCTACCACTGAGCTAAATCCCCAACCCCAAGGCTATGTTTTGCAGCATCATTCCAAACAGTGAAAACCTGGCTGCCACCCACATGCTCCTCAAGTGGGGAATTAAAGTATAGTATGTATGCTAAATGCAAGAAAATGCGTCTTTTAGCCCACTGAAACCAAACTGTCCTTGTGGTTTAATTCAGCTGAAATGCAAATTGCAAAAGTTGGTTTATGTGTATGTATTAGCCAGGATTCTCTAGAGGAACAGAACTTATAGAATGGATACACATATATGTATTTATTAGAATGGCTTACAGGCTGTGGTCCAGCTAGTCCAACAATGGCTGTCTACCAACAAAAGGTCCAAGAATTCAAGTTGTTCAGTTCATGAGGCTGGCTGTCTTAGCTGGTCTTCAGCATATGCCAAGTAGGCTCTAATGCCAGTGAAGGAATGGACTTGCCACCAAGAGCTAGAGCAAGCAGGCGAAGAGAGCAAGCTTCCCTCTTCTGTGTCCTTTATATAGGCTGCTGGCAGAAGGTGTGGCAGATTAAAGATGGATCTTCCTTCCCACTTCTAAAGATCTGGATTAAAAGTGTATCTTCTCACCTCAGAAGATCCAGATTAAAAATGAGTCTGAGTCTTCAGACTTCAAGGAATTAAGGGGGGAAAAATCCCTCACAGGTGTACCCAGCCACTTGGGTTTTAGTTCAGTCCAGATGTCATCAAGATGACAACCAAGAACAGCCATCACAAGTCCACCCCTTGTCAGCTTGACACAATTACATCTCTTTATGCTATGCTTAATTTCCAAGTGTAAACAACCAGGTCATAATAATGCCTAACTATCCCACGTACAATCACAAACACGTTATATATTTAACCAGGTCATAATTACATCTAATATAACTATCTCTTGTACAACTGCTAATGCATTGTACAGTTAGTATAGGTGGCAATGTCCCTTGAGAGATATTGTTTTAGTTATCTCAAAACTTAAATGTGATAACCACTGATACTCTTCTTAACTAATATTACAGGATAAAGAAACGGAGGAAAGAAAATACAAATATATGTACAAACACATTCTTAATAAAATATGACAAACACTTATGGCAGTTATAATCCTCATGTCTGCAACTGGTCATTTGGCCTTAGCTGGTATTTATAACTACCTTCCTTTAATACCCATTCTGTATTTCCTTCACCCCCAGCCACCTCAGCAGGTCTTGGCTCTTTTCCTGGAGGAATGATCCATACCTGTTGTTGGGTTCTTTTTCCTTTTTCTTTTCTTTAATCTTTTGCTCTTTGGGGGCTCCGCACCCAGCTCCCAAATAAATACATGGAGTCTTATTCTTACTTATGAATTCTTATCTTAGTTATGAATGCTTGGCCTTAGCTTGGCTTGTTTCTAGCCAGCTTCTCTTAACTTACATTATCCCATCTACCTTTTGCCTCTGGGCTTTTGTCTTTCTTTATTCCATATACCTTTCTTTACTTCTTATTCTGTGGCTTGCTGTGTAGCTGGGTGGTTGGCCCCTGGTGTCCTCCTCTCCTTCTTTTCTTGCTCCCCCAGAACTTTTCTTCCAAGATTTCTCCTCCTATTTCTTCTCTCTGCCTGCCAGCCCTGCCTGTCCTTTCTCCTACCTAGCTGTTGGCTGTTCAGCTTTTTATTAGACCAACCAGGTGTTTTAGACAGGCAAAGTAACACAGCTTCACAGAGTTAAACAAATGCAACATACAAGAATGCAACACATCTTTGCATTATCAAATAGATATTCCACAGCATAAATGAATGTAACACATCTTAAAAGAATATTCCACAACACATACCTTCATTCCTGCAGGGTCTGTGCCCTTTGTCATCTGCCTGGATTAGGCTGTGGTAGTTTCCCATTGACATTAATCACAGGACATGGTAGCACCACGAGATGCTCTAAAGGATCTCCTCTACCCAGACATAATCCTTCTTACCTCCATTGTGGGGAAGCAATCCAATTTCCCCTTGGTAATCTGGATCAATCATTCTTCCTAACTCGGTTTATTCCTTTCTTAGTCTGTTGGCTTACAGGCATCAGAAGCTCAAAGTGGCCAGGGGAAGCCTTAGTTTCCCGATCAACGAAATGTTTGTTGTATCTCCTGGCAGGACTACCCCCAATCCTCTCTGGAATCAAAACTTCTAGACCAGCAGAACTTAAGGTCATGGGAACAGGAAGCAAGATTTTCCTAGTTGGTCACTAGAGATGACAGTGAGTGAAACTATTCTCTTTTCCACTATCTTAGTTAGGATCCCTACTGCTGTGAGGAGACACCATGACCACAGCTACTCTTATAAAGGAAATCATTTAATGGAATGGCTTATGGTTCAGAGGTTTAGTTCATTATCATGGTGGGACATGGCAGGGTACAGGCAAACATGGTGCTGGAAAAGGAGCTGAGAATTTTACATCTTGATCCAAAGGCAACAGGAAGTGAACTGTCTTACTGAGCATGGCTTGAGCATATGTGAGACCTCAAAGCCC